CAATGAAGTGTGAACTCTCGACTGATGCCAGCATATATATGATACACGTTTTGTGGACTTCATGTGCTTCCTCGACTGATGGTCTTAATCTCACACTTTTTTGCCTTGCGAGAAATTTCCTTTATCCGCTTTATTCACTCCCTCACCCCTCCACCCCACTAATGCTTTCATCGTGCCGAACACAGCTTAAAGACGAGGATAAGGATAATGATTTTGGTTACTGCTCGTCTGCTTTACTGTTATGAAGCTATAATGCTGGCAGTAAGAAAAAAGTATGAGATGTCGATACTGATTATGTAAGATATACGTTCTGTATGAAAGTCTCGAAAGCAGGGTCGGTCTCTTTCAATTTTATTCAATTCGTGTTAAAACGCTAATTTTTGTTATTTCACTTGTTAATGATCGAAAATAATCTTATGCTTATTTACAGGAGAGAGGATGTATATTTAAGTCAACTGATTGCATCAAGTAGTGTTTAACAACTGTAATTTTATTGGTGAGTTTAAGTGTGGTTTAAATTTATGCCCATATTTCATGAGGATGAGCAGTGAAACTGGGTAAAATATTAAACTTTTATATATAGTGCTTAGTTTTGCCTACAATGTTTACTCTGTTGTGCACCCCAGTGGCACATTGGTATGTCTGCGGAGTTACAACGCTATAATTCGGGTTTCGATGCCCGTGGTGGGCAGAGCACAGATAGCCCACTGTGTAGCTTTGTGCTAAATTACAAACAAACAAATACTCTGTATTTGTTGAGAGTTCTGGAGTATACAATTGTAAGTTAAAATGTGTTGACAGTCACACAGTTTTTGTGATGTAGGTTTATATCACAGACTGTACCTTAATATACGTTCTTATAAAGTTACAGTAATAGATGTTTAGTTTTCGAGTATGTTGCCTGAAAAGCCGGACATTCGTTATGACCAAGTGAAACGTATGTCGCTAGGGTTGTAACTTTTATGATGGGTGTCAGTCTAGGTTGTTTCTCTATAGTATCACATGCATTAGTTGTATTTTAATGAATTTCCTTTTGCTAGTGGGACGCAGCCTGCACAAGTGTCAGATAGGAATACCTGACTGTGATCAGTAAAGCTATAGTGCGATGTTGCCTGCACAAGTGTCAGATAGGAATACTTGACTGTGATTGGTTAAGCTGTATAGGCGTCATTGATTCACTAGTTTCTTTTCTGTTAATTTTTCCCTTCAATTTATTTCAGCTTATTTAGTTTAAATTCGCTCAGATTTACTTTCATTCAACAATTTACTTGGTATGTCCTGGTGGTTAGGGCACTCGACTCAATCTGAGGGTTGCAGGTTCAAATACCACCTCGAACGTGCTCGCCCTATCAACCTTGGGACTGTATAATGTGACGGTCAATACCACTGTTCGTTGATAAAGAGTAGTCTAAGAGTTGGCGGTAGGTGGTGATGACTAGCTGCCTTCCTTCTTTAAAATTAGGGACGGCTAGCGCGAAATTCAAAACAAACAAACAAACATTCAGCGAACGAATATGGAGGAAGAGGTCAAGCTTGTACCTGACCCTCCCAGGTCCGTATGAATCTAAATCCAGATGTGTGTTTTGACGTTCCTTTGTATAATAAAAGTGTTTATGATTTTTGCTCTCCTTTCAACGAAGTCTTCGATCCTCGTGCTGTTAGCCATATCTTATTTATATGCGTTATTATTCCTACCCAGAATACCACATCATCAACGATGGCAAATGACCAGTAGTCATTATCCACGTGGAAGCGTGCATGTTTGTGGTCTTGTTCCTTGATACAATTGGATATATTCACATAATTACTGTATATATAGTGACTTCGCTCAATGAGAATGTTTAGTAAGTCACAGTGTTGAATCTTGGACACGTAGACAATAAAGAATCCCAACCCATAAATTTATGAACAGCAGTAAACTGATTGTTAAAAGATGCACACTTAAGAATGGCAACACTTGTGTGACAAATATTTAACAAATACTGTCTCCCGTGGACGTATCGTTCATGTTGTCAAGGCTAACAGTTAACAAAAAAAATAATCTAGTGCTGAGCTTATGATGTCAAAAGAGTTCTGTATATCTACTACATAAAACTTTAGCCTTATAATTTACGTCATCTTTAGGGCGGATCAGAGAATTTTATATTTCAAATGTCATTAAGAACGTAACGTTTTGAATAAGACGTAGAGTATTTGTGTAAACTCGTCTATTGTCACAAATTGACTTTTGTTTGGTGACATTTGGCCCAGTTTCGTGGGAAGCTGTTTTACCCAATTACCAAATTTTACCCAATTGTCGAAGCCCGGAGTCGCCAGTGTGGGAGTTTTCTAGCAATTAACATCATTCATAGTTGTATCCAGACTTTCGGCTCAATCTTTAATCTGCCGACGAAAGAGAAACGGTAGAAACCCTGTATATTCATGACTTGTTAAGTCATGGTAATTAGTTTTGAAGGCTAACGTTTATTACGTGCTTACGATTAAATTGTACTATAATTATTATGTAGGACTATAATTGAACCAATCTTCGTACGTTTTAAGTGTTCACTTGGAGAATAAGGTTTTTAAAAAATGGACGCAAGTGTAGCGATGAAAAAACCTGTTTTGGTGGGATGGGTAAAAGATTAATAATATCTCCATTTGTGAACTTGACATCTAAGTCTAAGGTATTCAATATCGCGCAAAAGTTTTTAAGGACATCAAATATATATCTCCTTCAAAGAACTCCCGTCTATCTGTTAAACATTATGGATGGCTAGCACATATATCCTTCATGTAGCTTTGATCTAAATTCAATAAAATAAACTCCTTGTTTCTTCACTAAATTTTTCAAGTATAAAAATATTCAAAAACAACTTTCTTTTTGTCGAAATAAAGAGACGTTGAAATAAAGTAGACGAACTCTGGTATTTAATAGCTTAATATTACTATATGCTTATCAAAAATCCTAAAAGTTTTTATAATTGTTTTTTTCAGCTTCATCTCGGGATTTTATAATAATATATGGTGGTTGTAAAAAATTGCTGACGACTCTGGGCAACATTTCTAAACAGTCATTTAAACTAATAGAATTAAAAATTGTGAGATTGAAATATACTGTTATGATATACAATTATCTTTTTAATTACTTGATGCTATCTGCATTAATTTAGCCTTCGGTGGTATTAGGCCTAAGACACATTTAAAGCTCGCCACGAAGTTGGGTCCTCCTTGTATACATTAATTTAGCCTTCGGTGGTATTAGGCCTAAGACACATTTAAAGCTCGCCACGAAGTTTGGTCCTCC